GGAAACATAAAATAATAATAAATAAAAAGAAACAGGAAATAATTTACACATTATTAGTAGATATTTATCTACAGAGTATCTAAAGAATAAACAATATAGCCTACTGAATATGTAAGAATACACTATAATAAACCATCTTACTAAAACCAATAGAAACATATATTTGTCTTTCTTAACCCTTTCATGCATGAATTATGAAAGCCCCACTCAGGATTTTTTTAGCAGGTGTTTTTATTGCTCTTGGGGCATGAAAAACAAGATTTTAACTTTAGTTTATTTTTATCTAGTTTTTTCAAATTTAGAACATTTAAAAATACATTTAAAAAAAGAATTTTAAGGATGATGTTTTATAATAATATATCTTGAGTATTATCATAAAAATAGCACGTTTATTTATTTTAACAAACCACGTTCTCCAAGTAAAATCTATAGAACATATAATGTTTAATCTTTTTGAAAAATAGAGATCGGACCATCAGTAACAGATCATCAGTCTTGTGTACAGATCAGTCCGATAAAGTCATGCCAAAACAGCGAAATTTTACGCGATAAATACGGGTTTAAATATCAGCATTTGCCACGGAAGGCGAGTGGCAGCTACCATAAACCTTCTCTTAACTTTTTGTGGCATTTACTTGCCACGGCAAGTTGTGGCATATACTTGCCACGGCAAGTTGTGGCATCTGTGGCATATACTTGCCACGGCAAGTTGTGGCATCTGTGGCATATACTTGCCACAGATACCACATCTGTGGCATATACTTGCCACAGATACCACGGAGTAGCGGCCTCTGTGGCAGATGCCGGAAGTACTTGCCACTGCCTGCAGACGCCACGAAATGAGCCAGGCCCTACTGTATATACGGAGCTCGACATGCCGGATGTCTTTGTACAATAGGGTGGTGGACATGTGGTGTTAAACTGTGATTAGTGGGCGGCTGACTGACCAACAAGTGCTATGTTTTTTATTTATTTTTTATTTCTGATATATTTGGTCTTTTTGTTCCATTTATGCACATTCTTTGACCTCTACTTTTGCTTTAAGTTATTAATAATTGACTTAGACTCAGAGCCTTTAGATTTAGATTTTTATTGTATTTTTTTGTTGATTTTTGTCATGATGCAATCCATTTTTATTTTTTTTTGTCTTTTTTTTTTATCCTGTCGGACCCAAATCACATTGTTGTCATCCTAATTTGTTTGCCAACTGCTATTGTGCTGTCTGTCTGGCTGTTTGTTTATAAAAAACGTTTAAAAAAAAGTTAAAAAAAATAAAAAATGACCTGCACACAAACAGAACAACCTAAATTAGGATATTAACACAGTACAATTCAGAAGAAAAGAGGTGGTTCTATGCCTTAAATGTCACTGTTCATTTGCGCCTTGTTAGCCCTGGAAGCTTCACACACTGCTCACTAAGAAAACACATGCAAATAAACACAACACAAGCCAATTTGACAACAATTGCACAGCATTTAAAAAAAAAACGTAAAAAGAAAACATAACAAACTACACAGTTGGCCAGCAATGTGCCATACCCGGGACAACGGGAGCTGTCCCTGAGGGAAAAAGCATGTATTTTTTCAGATAATTAGCAAAAGGCTAATGCTAGGTCAAACAAAAGGACCATAATTCCAAAAAAGGGGGGGCGAAAAGTTAGAAAGAACTGTAAAATAAGTCACCATACGTTATATATTGAACCACGTCGCTCTCTGGTGGCAGCATTCGTCCCTTACAATTGCAATCTGTAGCGACACTCTTTTAGTTTCCCCTTGTGAGCTCGATGAGCTCTGGGATAGACTCTGCAGGACTTTCTGTTGACAGTTCACAACAATGGCAGAAATCGAAGCAGCACAACCGGCTCAGGTTGATGTTTCCAAAAGTAGCAACGGCCCAGCTGAAGGATATGAGAAGAAATGTATTTTCTGCAAGATTGTAAACAAAGAAATGGGAACGGAGCTTCTTCACTGTGTGAGAATATGGCAATCATTAAATAATGTTGAGTGTCAAGCTAGCTAGCTTTAGCCTGCTGCCTTTGCAAAACACTTGTGGTTAATAAGCAGTCCTGTGACAAATAGTGACTTTGTGAATATATAGCTAGAGTTGAAATGTGATTTTCTCTGAGACCATCTTAGTTTACTGAGCAATTATTTTATATTGTTAATGCTATTGATTATAGTTGTCTGCTTGTGTTTCCCCTAAGGTAATTGTTAACGTATACATTCATTGTGTCTACTCTCAGTGGAGCTTTCCATTTTAAAACCACAGCTGTAGGAGAGATAAAGCTTAAACGATGTTTACCCGGGTAACTGACATGTAGTCAAAAACTAAGGTTGGTTCTTCAGTAAACACTTTAGTTTCACCCTACTACGCTCCTTCTATTCCTGAAGCTGATCCATTCATCTGTATTTGATGACTTGATTATTTCTCTCTGCTGCAGGATGAGGAGATCTCATGTTTCAGAGACATCAAACCTGGAGCTCCTCACCATTATCTGATCGTACCAACCAAACATGTAGGAAACTGTAAATCACTCAGCAAAGAAAACGTGCCTTTGGGTAAGGTTTAGCTACACTACTACTGCTACTATTGCTTATGCCTGTGTAAGGGTTGCTCTTGGAACTATTTACAGACTGCTGCACTTTATAGCTAACTAATAATGTGAAGTGGAACTTTTAACTTGTGTTAACTATTTCCCACTAAATTAAATATGTTGCTGTGCTGTATTTTTAATGGGAAAGTGTATTATGCTCACAAGCTTTGGTTATCATACCCAGTGAAGCGCATGGTCGAGACAGGGAAGGAGATCCTCCAGAAAAACAACATAACAGACCTCAATGATGTCAGGTAAGCTCGACTCAGTGGTACTTAGTTGCTACAATGGGACTATGGGAAAACATTCCTTAAATGTCAGTGATGCAGCTTTTGTCACTTGATCAGCAGGTCATGGTCCAGGTCAGTATGTCTGTTTTCAAATAGTGTCGGACGCATTATTTAAGGTTTATTTTCCCTTTACAACCAACCACCACAATAATCATCACTGTGACTGTCAAATGAACAAGCAAACAATCAACAGTGATACAGCTCAAAGATAACAAACATTATACTATCAGTACACCCTAACAGTATCCCAATGGAAGTGGATAATCTTCTAAAATAAATAGATAACATATCTTAAAGGGGCACTTAAACTGTGTAAACTTTTAAAACTTATCATATATTAAGCTAGTGAGCATGTGTGCAATACAGCTCTTTCCTTTGTCTGCAGGTTTGGTTTCCACTGGCCCCCCTTCTGTTCTGTCACACACCTACACCTTCATGTCCTGGCACCTGCCAGTCAGATGGGCTTCATCTCCCGCCTCTTCTACAGACTCAACTCCTATTGGTTCATCACAGTAAGTTCCACCTTCAAAAACCTGAATCTGCAAATTTTGGAATCAGCAGTTCAGACTTTTATTAAATCAGACATTTTAATATTTTGCAGGCGGACCAGCTGATTGAGCTTCTCAACTCTAAAGGAGACACAAACTGATCACACACCTTCAATACTTACAGTTCTTGACTTTGAACTTCTGCCTTCTTGAAGATGCCATGTTTGATGATACACACTAACATTTATTAGCTGCTGGCTTGTAATGACAGTATTTTAAACTGGTGACATATTAGTAATGGAAGCCAAATCCTGTTTCTTGCTACTTGAGATGTGTTAGATATGACACAAATTCTTTTTCCAATTTTTTTCCAGAAGAAGATCATTCAATCTTTCTTAATATTGGACGTAATAAAAATGCATTTATTGTATGGACCAAGGAGCAAACGGTGATATTCACCTATTTCAACTATTAACACCAAAGCAGGCATCTTTTTTTTTTTTTTTACTGAATGTGAATGTGTTTTGAGTACAAGAATATAAATCCCATATGAATAACAAGCTTTTTTGATACCTTGATATGCTTAATGATTTGGAAATCAGATTTGATGCATGTATAACTGATAAAAAGTATAAGTAAGGAAAATGATTTAGTGTTATTCATATATTGATACAACATTTTGGACAGCTGTAAGTTCCTCAGCTATGTTAATGTATTTATTTAATGATATACAGAGTAACATCTTCATTAACTATGTACTGTAGGGCTCCTTTACAGCAGAAGCAGCTAAGTATTAATGAGCTTGACAAAAAAACGAGGCATTTGTTTAAAAATGACATTTGATTTCATGAAATTCTGAGGATTTTGGAAGTTAATGATTTGAACTAACTTGTTGCTGAATGAAGTGAATATGTATGCTATGACGAAACTGCTGTATACTAGGGAATGTAAAGAATAAACATCATACTGTATACTGTATGATGTTGTATGCACTTTAAGAATTAATTTAACTAAGAATAAATAATAAATTGCCAGCTCTCAGTGTGTTCCTAATGCAGTGAGTCCGAGGTATCCGTTTACTCCTCTCTTCAGTCATTAGGTTAACTACAGCAGCCAGTGCTTACAGTTCACAAAGCACCCACAGTAACAGCATAACAGACAGGGCGCTACTCAGTTTATTTCTTTATTATAATACCGAAAGCAGTTATTGCACATTTAACAATCTACTACTGCCTTATCCTAAGAAATAACTTTTACAAGCAACATTTAATATGGCATTTATCAGTCAGTGCATAGCTTATAGTGTATTTCATTTGAGCAGCATTTGTAGTTTATTGTACATCTATCTCAGTGTGGTGCAGGTGTACGAAATTTCAAACCGTAAAGGGTTAAATTACAAAGCACACTTGTAATAAATTCATGCTCTCAAGCACGCTGGGATCAAGTTCATCCTATAGCACCATATTGTCTGTCACAGGCAGCCTCATGTTCTCTTTGGCTTTAGTTCAGGCTCATCAACCACGTTAGAAACCTAGCAAAGGGAACATAGTGAAAGGTATTTGTTTGGCAAAGATTTGATAAAGCAACACAGAGAAATGTAGTCAGTGAAATAGTGTAAACATGAAAATTGTAAACATTTTGAAGCCACTTAGAATACATATTAGGTTGATTTGGTAACAATATCTTAGCTGTGTCATCGTCAATCTGTTTCTCTTTATTTGTGTTTTTTATATTTGTATTTTATCATTTTGAATAAATCTTGTTCCAGAGTTTTCTTTTTCTGCACTTTTTACATTTTTAGAAGATTGTTTGTAGCATGAGGAGAAAATATGTCTCATACACTAATGTAGGTGTTTTCCTTGTGTGAGCAACTCAAATCAAACATTTCTGTCTTAATAGGAGCATCATTACATAACTTAAATACAAATATTGCAATCTTTCTGATATCTGAATACCACAGTGAGTGCTGCCATGAAGTAGCTCTATACTTGCCACTCAATATACTGCATGAAAGTTGAATGAAGGCATAAATGTTCTGATCACGGCAACAGAGTGATTACTGCATGGTCATCCTTCCCTTGCCAAAGCATCTCCCCCTCAAAGTCAACCAGCCTCTGCTTCCTCGCTCGTAGAAGAACACCCACCAGTTTATTAGAGATGGTCACATAATGCTCGAACAGTTTCCTAAATTCTACGGTCACCACCTTTCCATCACCTCCTCCATCCCCATCTTTGTCTCCTGGCTCCCCAATGTTCCTGATCACCTCACACAGCTCCTCAACTTCTCTGCTTATATTTGTGTGAGCATCCTTCCCCCTCTGCTCTGTCATGGAGCCCTGCAGGGGTTTCCCGTAGTCGTCCTGGCCTCTCTGAGGGGCCACCACACTGGGCCTGGTGCCGTGACTGAAGGGGTTGAGCTTCTGATACTCCCGGTGCTCATCGGACCACTTCTGCCAGTTCTCTTTCAAGCCTTTCACAGATAAAATGCACATTGCAGCTTCATCGCAAAACTGATTGGAATTGGGGACGTCATCTTCAGTTTCTATGATGGTGGTGCTCTGGCTGCTCGTCCCCATCACTGTCTCTAATTAAGAGAATATTCCAAAGCTTTAACTGGTATGGTATACAAACATTAATGCAATGTTATCACTCAATGAATATTAGCCAATTGCTGTTTTCATTCAATTGTTATTTAAAAGCCAACTTCCTTAAATAATCTACAAAAAGTATGAATTTAAAGCTTTACATTATTTATTTATTTATAATTATTGACGTTGTCGTGTTTGCTGGGTTTCTCTGATTTAGCTGTAGATATCTGCATATCAAGTTATGGTAAGTATTGACAGATGTAACCCACAACAACAACAACAACAACAACAACAACAACGATACAATTCATTTAAACTAAAGAAAATTAAAATCAAGAATTATTCAACCTGCTTTATAACATAACCTATGTCTTCACAACCTATCAGAGATTTGGAGTAAACAATTATAAAACATAATTCAACTCAAATGTCACTCACTGCCTCGATCCTCACTTCATCTGCAATGAGTTGTATTTTATCCAAAGTGCAAACAACACACGTGTATTAATACTGCAGTACTCACCGCTGACAGAAGCAAGAGTGCCGATACTTTTCTCTCCTGAGGCAAAAACCGCTCTGATGAACATCTGTCTCAACCAATGGCGTGTTTGAGAAGCTCCGAACAGCCAATCACTGGCCAGATAGGGCGGCAACAACAAGGTGTCAAGTAAAGCAGATTACATCGTGAGGGGAGTTTATCCTAGGAAGGAATAGATGATAAAGCATAGATATATGTGTTTATATATATATATGTGATACAGTGAATACGACTGAGTGAATGTTGACAAACAAATGATTATAGGCACGACGGTTACTCTTTTGGTAAATCACGCGAACCAACCAACTTTTTTACAGTAATATTTTCGACCAGTCTACCAATTTCATTAAACAGCTCAAATGTACTGCAGCAATAGTAAAGATATTGGTTTAACTGCCTTTAGACAGTATACTATACGCACATAAAACATACACATTCCACAATATAATGTCAAACAACGTAGTTACACTGAAAGAAAATAGCATGCCTTTCCATTTATGGTAATTTGGTCCCCAATCGGTACTATTCTTTAGCAGCCCTGGTTTCAAGCCGGACGTATTTTGAATCCGCAACAAACATGGCGACCTCCGCCCGTCAATCATGCCTCAAGTATTTGTTACATCTTGCCCAAGATAATATGGACTTCAGGTTGCCGGTAATTTATATAATTATTCTCAGTTTCTGTCTGACTATTACGAATGTTTATAGTTCTTTGTTTGTAAAATCTGTCAGAGAAGAGTCCCTCCTCACGTGGTTTGCTGCGTTAGCTACATGCTAATCATATATCACTGTATATAGATGCTAACTGTCAAATCAGTGTGATAACGTTTAAGATTTGATGTCACGCAAGAATAACACACTTACACTCTGTTTTTCCAGCTGGAACTATATATGTGCGCCTGTGTTATTTGGTTAATTCTACAGGAATCCCCACTGATATTACTCATGAAGTAATATAATTACTCATGAAGATTATATTGAATTGATTATGATTTGTGATCTTGCAGGAGATTAAGTCCTTGCTGGCTCTCAGGGGAAAGCCGTTCCATTCTAGTGGACACTTCCAAGAAAAGGTTTGCAGATCAAAAGCACCTATTACAAATCTTTATTTTCCAAAATCTAACTGATACATTTATTGACTTTGATGGTTTATGATGAAGGTTTCTTCTTGTCTCTTCTCTCAAGACTCCTTTCTGGTGTCTGGATGGGTTGTCCGAGGAGGATGTCCGCGGTGTAATGGCCAGATCTGTTTGTGCAAAGTACGTTTTAGTTGTTAAGTTAGTTTATTTTTGCTTTATGGTCTTGCACCCGTAGTAATGCAACAGCCTAAACATGCAGCATATAATGGCATCCATCTGAACATGTGTCACAGTAGTCAAGATTTAGCTGTAATCTGTGCATTATCCTTGCTTTCAGGTCTGCCTTTGAACTTTGGGGCCACGGAAAAACGCACAGTGAGCTCAAAACATCCCTCTTGAAGTACCCAACAGAGAACATGGTTTGTGATGCTATGGTGTTGGACAGACCCTGTTGTTGATATAAAAACAAACATGTTGTAAACTAATATGTTTATTTTCTATCTGTGCTCTTCTCCTTATAGTCACCATTCATGCGCAAAGACTCAACTTACAGAATCAATGTGTACACTTTCAACAAGACTCTGGAGTTTGAGGACAGAATCAAAAGGATTGATGTGAGTATTTAGATGTCCTAGTATCTTTGATTGCCTTCATGTATTTATATGTGTGTGCAGGATGTCATGTTTTGTATTTTTCCGCCAGTCCATGGACTATCTTCCGTTTGAAGGGACAGTGAACCTGAAGAGCCCTCAGCACATCTTCTGTTTGTTGGAAGATTACGGCACAGACCCCAACGACATCCCCGAGCATCCTAACTACATCTATTTCGGTCGATGGGTGAGATACTTTTGACATTTGTTTGCATTCAACTGATAAGAGGTGATCTGCAACTAACCACTGTTCATCTTTACACGCTGCTGCAACAGATAGCAGATGGACAGCGGGAATTGATTCGCTCCCACAGCGTGAAGAACAGACACTTCATAGGAAACACCAGTATGGATGCTGGACTATCATTCATCATGGCCAACCACGCCAAGGTCAATAAGAATGACCTTGTCTTTGACCCCTTTGTTGGCACAGGTGAGATGATCCTGTCAATGACTCTCACTCAAATAAATAGATATATAAATAATCACTTAAGAGAAATCTTTGCAAATTAATATTTCTTTTGTCTTTTGATCTGTTTCAGGCAGCCTGTTGGTAGCATGTTCTCATTTTAGAGCCTACGTCTGTGGAACGGATATAGATTACAACACTATTCATGGTAGAGGTAAATCTACTCGGAGCTTATTTTCTTTTCTTTTCATCTTAGGGTATGTTTTAATTCAAGCTTGCAGGTAAAACCTGTGCAATTATTCACGCAATAGTTGGGTTTCATCATTCATATCTTTATAACACTAATATACCACTGTATCTATTGTTATACACATGTTTACATTTGTATTGTTGTAGTACAATGTGCACCATTTTACTTAGCTTCCTTTACCTTCTTTTTGCACATTTAAATTTAACTTGTTATGTTTGTATAAAATACAAATATTATTATTCTGTTTTATTTATAGATTACATATTTAAATAAAGTGTTCTGATTCTGAGATATTGTATCAGGTCATTTATCCGTTCACAACCAACAGTGGCCGGAACCTGCTCTGAATTTCTGATGCTTTCCAACATTTCTCAAAGTGCCTTCCTCTTTCAGGTCGGTCAAGCCGTAAAAACAAGACGTGGCGAGGACCTGACGAGAACATCAGAGCCAACCTGCGGCAGTATGGAACAGAGGACATGTATATAGACGTCATGGTGTCTGATGCGTCCAAGCATGTGTGGAGGGAGGCGGCTCTGTTTGATGCCATCATCACTGATCGTAGGTCTTTAGTATTAAAAACTTGTGATAAATCAATAGCTTTTTTTTCACTGAAGCAGAGTTGCAGCAAGCATGTACTCTAGCTACAAAAGTGCAAAATATTAAATTGGGTATCATAATGGGATAAACTATTTTTTTCTGACCTCAGCTCCGTATGGTATCCGTGAGTCCACAAGGAGAACGGGCTCTCACAAAGACGTGACCAAACCCCAAGATGCCATGTAAGTTCACTTGATGCTCAAAACATACCAACATTTGTTCCGTTGCATTAAGTATCACTTATTTAGTCTAGTTAGACTTTATTGTAATCTAGTAAGTAAAATTGCCTAATTACGTGGACTTAAAAATAGGAAACACTTTGAAATGTTTTGTATCTTTTGTTAATGTTGTGGGTTTTTTGCCCTGGTCCAAACTTGTTTGTGTTTCTTTGATTCTTCTGCCCAGCTATGAAGAGTCTCACGTCCCTGTTACTCAGGCGTACCACCTGAGTGACATCTTCACAGATCTGTTGAACTTCTCCGCCCACCACCTGGTTTTGGGCGGGAGGCTGGTCTATTGGCTGCCTGTCTACAGACCAGAGTGAGTATGGAGACTTAAAATACCTTATTTAGCTTTATTGGGTTTCCCTTTTCTGTAGTGTGTTGTAGGTTTTTCTGCATGTAAATGGTCTGCAAAGGCTAAAATCCCAAAGTGCACGCCAGAGGATGTCTCTCTCTCACACACCCCATCCCTCCCGCCTGAAACGCCTTGATTGAACTCCTTTGATTTCGGCGACATAGTGGCTGCATCTCACTTCTCTTAACTTCAATCCTTGCGTCCCTCACTTGCGTCTTTTCCTTGGGAAAACCACGAAAAGGGAGAAGAAGCAGGGAAATTAGTTTTAAGAGCAATGGGACGTCCTTTCCTCGGAGCGTCACGTGAAGCGACGTCCGTTTGTGATGAGGCCGCACAGCTGATCGTCTGACAGCAGCCATCTCTGTCCCCGTTTTTTTCAAACACCCCCGCCTCTGTTAGTACACATTTACATTACATTACATTGCATTTAGCTGATGCTTTTATCCAAAGCGACTTACAATAAGTGCGTTCGACCAACAAAGTACAAACTTGAAGAAAACAGAATCATATAAGTACATCAGGTTTCATAGAGCTCAAACATTTCAAGTGCTACTCAACTGGCTTTAGATAAGCCAGCCCTTTATTAGTATATAAGTGCTTTGTTAGTAATTCTATCGCTCGAAGTGGAGTCTAAAGAGATGAGTTTTCAGTCTGCGCCGGAAGATGTGCAAGCTATCTGCTGTCCTGATTTCAATGGGGAGCTCATTCCACCATTTTGGAGCCAGGATAGCAAACCCACGTTTTTTCTGATGGGAACTTGGGTCCCCCTCGCAGTGCGGGTGCAGCAAGCTGTTTGGCTGATGCAGAGCGGAGTGCATGTGCTGGGGTGTACGGTTTAACCATGTCCTGGATGTAGGAAGGGCCAGATCCATTCGTAGCATGGTACGCATGTACCATTGTCTTGAAGTGGATTCTAGCAGTTACTGGAAGCCAGTGAAGGGAGCGGAGGAGCAGCATGGTTTGGGAACATTTAGGAAGGTTGAAGACCAGACGAGCCGCTGCATTCTGGATGAGCTGCAGAGGTCGGATGGCACATGCAGGTAGACCAGCCAGGAGGGAGTTGCAGTAGTCTAGGCGTGAGATGACGAGAGCCTGGACCAGAACCTGCGCTGATTTCTGGGTCAGCTGGGGACGTATCCTCCTGATGTTGTAAAGAGTGTATCTGCAGCAGCGGGTTGTAGCAGCAATGTTTGCAGTGAAGGACAGTTTGTTATCTAGGGTCACACCCAGATTCCTTGCAGTCTGAGTCGGGGAAACAACAGAGGTGCCGATGTTGATTGTTAGGTCAAGAGTGGGACAATCTTTTCCCGGAAGGAAAAGCAGTTCAGTCTTGTCAAGGTTGACATAAACATTTGTATCATCTGTTGTAGACCCAAATAAATAAAATAAAATAAGAACTCATTCTCAAAAAAGATAAACGCCATTCTTAAAATGTATAAACGAACAATAGTTTGATTAATATTGATTAGAGTGCACAATATAAATACAATTATTGAGAGAAGAAAAAGAGATATGTTATTTATCAAAACCAGTTGGATTAACATTCATTGGATTGTCCACTTTGTAGTTCAGATATATCACATATTT